GCACATATGTATTATTGTGAGGCTCAAAATGTTTATCTTATAACTTAATTATTCATTATAATATTAGAACTTTCACAGAGAAAAACTTTCAAAAGTTTAATTAAAAACACAATTTAAAATAAAAAAAATGCAGATGCGGAAAACTGTATTCGTTCTTGGTTGATTGTAATAATAGGTATAATTTGACCCAAGATTTCTAAAATATTGTTGACATATATTTTATGTTACTTGCAATACAGAACACAATCTACTAGGTCTATTAAAATATCTAATTGGTTATATATACATCAATTTGGCAAAATAATAATAATTACCCTCATCTTCCCACTAACCTCCAATTATACAAACAGGTTAATGAATTCATAAGCTTTATGATAGAAACGTGTCTTTCTCAACTTCTAATGGAGATTTCTATTGATATAAAAGCCGATTATTTTCTCTGCTTTAGTGTAGGTACATTAAATTGAAAACAAATCTTTATGTATCTATTTATGAAAATATACGTCTAAATTATTTATAATATATAAATATTATTAAATGGAACGATATATTCCTTTTATTCCATTTAAAATATATAAGCATCCGATTTGGTAAGGAAATATTGATATCACTTTAAATCATTAAAATCTTAGATTAGTTTGTATTAAACGTTGAGGATCTTATGACTAGTTGTTTTTATAGTCTGGCAGAAGAAAACTACAAGCGTGTCAACTTCTGTTGAGAATTGCTGATCTATACACGCACAGCGTAAAATAGGGTGGGTTAAACAAACAAGAATATTGATGAAACATATGGGTCGAGCTCGCACAAATACCGCAGAACTGCAGTTTGGGTCTCAACATCACACTAGTGATTCTCCAGCATCATAAAATATGAAGGTCTCACCTGCTCTTTTACCAATATTTGCGAAAATTTTAAACAAACATTACTGCAGAAAAGTGTATATGGATTATGACCTAGGTTCTTTCCCTTGCGACCTTAAATAAGCTCCATCTTGAGGCAATAGACTCGAACTTTACCCCTTGTAAAAAGCAGTATGAAGTATACAAGTGAACCTCTCGTCTTACCTTCGATCATTAAATAGTAATTAAAGTAATTATAGTCCTATAATAGTAATTAGTAAAATGTTGCTTGTATAATTATACATAATTTAAATTATGATTAGTCATGCCGTAAAACTCCAAGCAATAATACTCCACACCATGCCACGAAATATCAAGCCACAATACACCACCACATCAGAGTACCCATAAGTTAAATAATAATTCATAATTGAAATTGAAATAAAGCCTTGTCAGATGTGTTATTCTTTTTCTAAAATGACATAATGAAAATAATGTTCAAAAACTTTTTTAGACCAAACAAAGTCATTTCCATTTGATGAATCCAACAATAGTCTATTTTCCAAAGTACCTATTATTTCTAAATTTTAATCCCAGATTAAAAATAAACAATGAATATAGTCTACGTATCTCTATAATATACAAGTTTTTCCTTCCTAATAACATGTAAAAGTAATATTGAGTGTTAATTATCTTTATATCTGTGGTTAAATATTATTTACATAACGAGTACTTGAATATAGGCTTAGATATTAACACGTTGTGGTAATGACTCTTTCACAACTCGTGTTGAAAATCACTCTTGAATGTCAGTCATTTTTTCGTCTTCGTTATCAAATGTCATGCTTAATTTTTTTAATTACTATACCAAGATTACAAAATCCTCCAATATATCTTGAAAATAACAGTTATTTAATAAAAAAAAAGTTAATCTGTTGGTTCTTTTGATTTTACAAAAATTTCAAACGAGTCTATGATATGTCGAGAGTGTACAAGACTAGTTTGAGTCTTTCTCTACAAAATTTTATAGTATAATTAATAAGCATATATATACATATATTAAAGTATTATATACTTGTATTTCTTTTACAATACATGCATTCGTGGAAACCTAACTACCTTAAAAGTATGTATAAATAACAAAATGGCTTAAGTTACATGCAAAAAGTTTTCTTATATATTTATTAGTAATCCAAAAGTGTTTACAGTGATAAAATTGTATAAAAAATATTAAAAAAAGACTTCAAAAGACTACGTAAATGTCACCTGTATAGGTATTCCTAGAAAGAGAAAACAGAAATAAGAGTAAAAAATATCTTCTGTATTCAATAAATTCATTTTGATATACAAAATAAATATTTTTTTAAGTCTTTGATGTCTTTAAAGTGTTTCACAATTTTAAGTTCATTTAAAGAAATTAATCTTTTATTTTGGGGGCAGGTTGTTATTCTTTTTAACCAATTAATCTTAAATACGATCACAATTGCTTTCATATTTTCATCACAAAAAGTAACGTAACGTCTATAAAGATTATTTTCGCAAAACATTATTTAAAATAAAAGTAATATATAAATACACCTTCATTTAATGTTTTATCTGATACCAAGAAGTTAAGCCTCAAAATGAAAGTGAGAGATTTTTTTCCATCAGAACGTTAACGACGACTTCTGATCTTAATACGGATGTACTATTATTTCGCGTTTTGTTTATTTTAAATTCATCTCGTCTGTCCGTGATAACAACTCGTGTATTTGGCGTTAAATTTAGACTAGAGTGAAGCCTTTAACAGAATAACTACTCATGACATCTAATACTTTCGCGAGTATTCATTTAAATATAATAGTTTCGGATTTACAACGCATTTTTACATAAATTTTTAAACTATATATTCTCGAAGTTTGGTTTAATTTGCAGACCTTGATCAAAGTAACAGAAAAGTCGGTAGTATGTAGTTTGTAAAAATAATAAAGTACATTGTGATTGATTTAAAGATATTAGTTAAAATTGATACCCAATATAACACGAAAAGAGAAATCCTAATATTTCTGAATTATAGTGTTTTTAATACATTCTTTTGACTACATTATTGCACGACATTTTTTATTGAGACATTATTTATTTATGCAAACTATTTATAACACATCACTTTTTTATCAATGAGACTAATGACAAATAAGTCGTTTTAGATCTGTGAATAAGAAATGAGATTGTGAGAAAATATAAGTGCTACAGTAATGACTGCAATACATATGGAGAACATTAAAGAATTTGACCTTACACACATATCTTCGTAAATCGTGTAGAAATAACTGATTCGTTATTATGAAAACTAACATTTTACGTTAATGTTAGTTTACTTATTTGTATTTTATCACACGTTAATGTAAGGCATATATATATACTACTTTTTGCCCGCGACTCAATCTGCGTGAACATCTAGTTGAGCTCAAAGAGAAATGTAGAACGTATGCAAAAAAATATACATATAATAATATCCGTTGTAGCCTTTTAACAAATGCATACAAAAAGTTGCATTCAAATCGGTCCAGCCGTTTAGGAGAAGTTTAGTTACACACAGGTACAATAAAATTATATACATATAGAAATAATGCAGGTAATAATTATGTATACATATATGTTTTAAATTAAACTCAGAAGAAAGAAGTTGCCGATAACATAACATTCGTATCGAAAGGTCAATAAAACCAGTTGTGCGTCTTCTCTATAGACCTTGATTCTGGATTGACGAGATTTACTATGTCATAAAATACGCCTGTCATGTGTTTTGTAATAATATGTTAATGATATATGCGCTGGAATATATACATATATATGTACATATATACAAAAAAATAAATATTAATCAATATATAAATAGTTTCTTACTGGTTTATATGCATTCGTAAATAAAATACGTATTAAATATAATAAAGAGTATTGCTTCTGAATTGTTTTTTAATAATTTCTGTTATATGCAATTTACATAAAAAAAAACTCTTGAATAAATTTTTCATCTTACTTTATATGTAGTTACAAGAACATCAGTCATTAATCAATGTCTATTTTAAATATATAGGACAATTTCATTATGTTTGTTCCTAAAATAATATAGTAGTAATGAAAATATTTTTACTTGTAACTAATATTTAAATAAGTTTTCTAATTTTCTCTTAGACGTTGGAGTTTTTCTAATCGTGTGAGAGTAATGAAAAGATACCATGATGGTAAACTGAAGATGCGAGATTTTTTTAATTAAAAATTAAATATCCACTTAATATGGATATTGTTTATATAATCCTGAATTAGAACTCACCTGTACATAAAAACTTGGGTTTTACCATGCATTTGAAATAAAGTTATGAGTGGTATTGTAATGTTAAAACATACATTACATAATATATATTATATATACCTTTGCCTAAATGTATGTATACATTTGTTTTTTCACTAAGCCGTTACCTGCAACAATTATTTGTTCTTAATATGATTTTTTTAAGCAAAATCGATCTGATAGAACGTAGGATGAAAAACGCCAACGCTTATAATTTAAATACACAAGGACCATTTCCTTATCGAATATCCTTTTGTAAGATATTATTTTATTTATATTTTAGTTCATGGGTATCATTCAAAACTATTGCATGTTGGTGCCATTTTAAAGTGTATTCGTCATAAGACTTCCGACTCTCTCTTGGCCTTTCGTGCTAATGTTAAATTGGTCCCTTCTATTACAAACAAATTGAAATATTATGCATGCTTTTGGAATTATATTTATCAAATGTTGATGTAAAATAGCCTATTGAGAATCTAATTGTTGTGAATAAAAACTTATATTCTCAAAAGAACATTTCCTAGGAACAAATAACAACGAATAGTGAATGAGCAAAAAAACATGCAGACCAAACGAATCTATTCTTATTTGTGAACTTATCGCTAATCTATGAAAGTCAAATAACGAGTTCTTTGAAAACGAAACAAAAAAACTATGATATAAATGTCGAACGATCATTCCATTATATCCGCAAAACTTTGATATACCTAAATATTTTTGGAATAACCTCTTTGACAAAGGTCAAATGTCATTAGGTGGGGCGCATGTGGACATCATCTTCATCTATCGGACACTGTATCAGTCCGTTGGGTGACGGGTGACGGGTGATGAAGGGTGTTATAGCTAGTGTAGTGACCATGTGGGTGAAAACTATAATCGCTGTGGCCTGTTTAGGTAAGCTAAAGTTAAAATTAAGTTGTATATCAAAACGAAACTAAATCCATAATGTTTTATCTCATTCTGTTGTTTCTCGTTATTTTTAGTGTTGTTGGATTTTGTTATTCTTTTTTTATTGTATTTTAATATCGTTTTTTCTCTTCTTCTTCCTGGCAATTTCCCAGCTTTAACCAGGGTCTGCCGTTTTTTCTACCTTTATATTTTTCATAAACGTCCGGCTTACAAGCACACTGAATGTCGTGTGTAAATCAAACACCAGTTAAATATCTACTATTTTTATTAAAATGATTTGATTATTTTTCTTCTTCTTCTTCTACCTGGCAATTTCCCAGCTATAGCCAGGGTCTGCCTGACATGTTATGAATAGTTTTTGGCTATTTGTTTTTACGACCGGCCGCCTGCCTGACATCAACCCTCTTTTGGGAATCAACATTAATCAGTGATGTCTAAATACTCTTAGAAAGTACATATGATTCCGAAAAATCACATTGGTACTTGCCCGGGTTAGGATCGAACCCACGCCCTCGGCGACGAGAGGCCGAGAGGCGATTATTTTTATTTAATAAAAATAGCTCTGGTTGAAATCGTAAATGCCCTTGCTTCATTAATCGTATAACAAGGTTCAGATTACTATTAAGCTGAATTTGAATGTCATTTTTTTTGATACAGCACCAAAAATAATAATAAGAGTGAGCATTAAATCGAAAGTTAGTAACGGACAACGTCGGTTGGGTACTTATACTCATACAATAGTTTTTACACACTCATGCAATAAGTTATTTCTTGATACGACTGTAATAATGGTCGCTGCTTAATCTTTTCTCCAATTATGTAATCTTAAACATTAGCATAATTACTTTTTATCACGATAGCATACATATTAATTTGTCTTAGTAAAAACTACGGCAAAACAAACAATCTTTTAAATCAATATTTGATTGTTTTTCACATCGTAAGCTTCAAAACTTTATGTATTTTTTTCTAAATTTTTCTGTATCGAAAAGATTTCTAAATATAAAATATATTCACACATTTTTTTGGAAGAAAACAATGATTATTTTATATTTCTTTTTTAACGTTTGAAAGAATTTACAGTAAAAAGTCTATTTTTTTCAAGTTAACCTAAGCAAATTAAGAAATCACCCACATAATGTACGATCGTATTGATAATAAAGTACAACTAGTTTTACCCGGGTTACGTTTAGTCTCGTGGAAATCCCTAATAATATTATAAATGCGAAGGTAACTGTCTGTCTGTCTGTTTATATAAAACAGACTTACATTTTATAAAATTGTTATGACTACAATAAAAACGGTTACTTACTTATTAAAATATTAAATAAAAAAACACAGACATAAACCACATTATTATTATACATCTATTTATTAATTTACTATAAGCATGTAATTTAATACGATATTAAATTTTATAAAAGCAATATTATTTTGTTGTTATTTTTCTTAATACATTGCTGTTTTGCAATAACACACTTTGACTGTTAAAGGCCGTTCTTGGAAGGTTAAATATTTTAAATAAACATAACATGTTACATTGGTACGTAAATGGTAAGAATCTTTTGGGGATTGTACAATGTACATATTTCGTTTAAGGAAAACTTAGTTAGGTATATGTAGATGATAAGCAAAACAAGAGTTTAAAGAACAGATTTTACATTCCGTTTAAATAAAGATAGACCGATAGTTAGGATACGTGGTGATAACAAAAATCTAGATTATAATTTATTTATTAAGTTATATAAAATTACATAACTTAATAAATAAATTAATTATAATCTATCTAATATATACAATTACACCTTTATTATTAACTATCACTACAAAATTTTTGTTCACTATTCAAGACGGTATTAAGATTTCTTTAAAATCTAAAATCTCTGTATATTATTTTAACTTGAATTTTCAGACAAATTATTAATATTTTATTGTACTCCAAAGCCAGTTTCCTAGCTTTTGTTTTTAGCTCTATTAAGATAATCCAGTAATGTAAGATTAAGGCTGTTTCTAAACGTTGAAAGATGTCTTTGGCTACAATTGTAAAATAAGGTTTAATTTATAGATTAATTTACAAAACTAAAGAAAGAATTGAATGTTTAAAATAACGATCAAAAATATTCCTATCTTGTTTCCTTTTTTTCTATCGATTATGTAAATTTATACATAAAATTATCGGCAATAAAAATATGTTCACACTTATTCGTGATCGTGATCTCAAAGTGTAATAAATGAAAAAAAAAACGTTGACATTTTTATGGAATCTTAAAATTTTTTATAAAAAATTTAACTTAATGCCGTCTGTGACTTTTTATTAATTTAATATTTACAAATACACAGAAGTTATAACTTCAAAGACCAGAAGTATTTGTAGAGTAAATATAAATTGTTTACATATTATGTATTTGGTTTAAACAAAAAAAAATACATTGACTAATATAAAAGCATGAATATATTAAATTATTAATCATAATATGTAAATAGTTCTTATGAAACATGTCAAATTAGAAGGTCAAGAGCAAGCTCTCGTTAAATCATCATTTTAGCATTTAGTTTTAATATTACAATGTCAAGATTGTGTCTAGAATGTAGTCTCAAGGTCGCAAAATAATACAAACAATATGAGAAAAGAAATATTTTAATTTATTTTTATACATCTAAAGAAAGTCAATGGTGGCCTAGTGGTTAAAAGGCCCGCCTCTCATGCAAGAAGGCGCGGGTTCGATCCTGGCAAGTACCAATATGATTTTTCCGAGTCATATGTACTTTCTAAGAGTATTTAGACATCACTGATTAATGCATTCCCAAAGGGGGTTGATGTCAGGGAGGCAGCTGGTCGTAAAAACAATTAGCCAAAACTATTCACAACATGTAAGGCAGACCCTGGCTAAAGCTGGAAAATTGCCTAACTAAATTAAGGAAAAGAAAATGTTAAACGTGTTTAAAGTAAAATATTTACTTATATTTGACGTCTCAAATATACTTTTTCTTACGAATTCAAGTTTTAGTGATATTCAGTAATAAACACACATACAAACGTTAAAAAATCTTATTTGTTTTAATTAATACCATTACTGATGTGTAACAGATTATCTTATCAGTTTCTTGGCAAACATTTATACAGGGTGACTGGTGAATTACTATTAATATTTAAGGAGAATACTCGGTACATGATTCTCATTCGAATTATGTAAAAAAAATAGGTACTTAATTTTTGACCAAATTTCCGTATAAATAAATAAAGTGTGGACACGTTCCAAGTGTACCAAGTGATACAACACCACGCCGCCGCACGCGTGTGGGTGTGTGTGTATATACCTAATCTGTAGGGTGTTCACACGATGCGTAATTAATTACATAACTTTTGGTTACCTTTACTTAGAAGTTTATTTATATTTAATGTTATATTAATTTTTATTTTGTCATATATGATCGTCAAATATCACGTCCTCAAGTATCGATAGTAATTCACCAGTCACGCTGTATATACCTTTATTTTATACTTTTGATTAAACATAGGTAAAGCCAGTTTTTCTAGAGAGGTGTTTTGCTTATTTTGTCCTATTTAAGTTCTTATTATTAAATTGGAATAATTAAATATTTTGTCAGCTAAATCTTTATATTTTTGTAGGCCTGCTAGTAACGGCTCAGTCTCGTTACTCATCAGATGAAAGATCTTACAGACGGAACTATCAATCGCGTCCCAGTCAATGGAGGGACCTTGCTGATGGTAAATATTAAAACATATTACTTAATATACTCATTAAATTCTTAAAAATAGAAGATTATCTACCGATAATAACGTAAAATTAAATAAGTTTTGAAATTTGGCAATAATGATAACTCTTTTCTTAATTTTTTCTTAGAATACGACAGAGATGAAGACAGAGGGCCACAAACACCGAGTATTAAATATCCACTTCAGGCAATACCTTATGAATTACCTATAGGTAAGTAAACTGTCAAAAATCATACAGATATTTAAAAGATTTTTGAAGATTTAATTTATAATTTATAATCAGTAACAATGAGAATCAAAAAAGACATGGCATTTATACCCATAATCTTTATATATAAAAGAAAGTCATGTTACTTACTCTATATATAACTTAAGAATGGCTTTTTTTATGTGAAAGCTGGCAAACGAGCAGACGGCCCACTTGATGGAAGGTGGTTACCGTCGCCCATGGACATCCACAACATCTTTGTTGCGGATGTCCATGGGCGGCTGCATGGATTTGACTAAAAATTGATGGAGATGTAGATTAGAACAAGGGAAAGGACATAGGATACTTTTCATCCGATTGAAAAAGAAAAAATAATCAGTTGATCAAAATCTTCTTACATATTGTCTTTAAGGAGGAATATAGTTCGAGCGCTCAGCTATACATTTCTAATTCTGAAACTTACGCAGACGAAGTCGCGGGCTAGCTAGTTATATATCTAATATATAAAATTCTCGTGTCACAGTTTTCGTGCCCATACTCCTCCGAAACAACCTGACCGATTTTGATGAAATTTTTTGTGCTTATTCGGTAGCTATGAGAATCGGCCAACATCTATTTTTCATCCCCCTAAATGTTAGGGGTAGTCCACCCCTAAATTTATTTTTTTTATTTTTTAGACAAAATTTTTAATTACTATTTTTTTATGATACAACGTACAAAAATACATACAATCCTAAATTTTCACCCTTCTACGATCAACCCTTATTTTTTAATAGCTATTTTAGTAATTTAATCATTTTTCATCTCCGGTCGATAACTGATCAATCGTCATTTAATAAGTTATCCCCGCCAGATATCTACAGGTGTCACTTCTGACCCAGTAAACAGCACGGAGTAGGGATGAGAACGAAGCCGGTCTTCTGTTTCTCTCACACAATTAGACTTCTCTCACTCCCTACACAGTTGTCGGCCATCGTTATTGTTTGTGCATCAAGTGTAGTAGTAACGTTGACAATTATTATTTTGCTAGATCAGTGTAACTCTCATATTAACTATTAATCATTCCTAATCACTTCAAAACACGGAGATTTATGGCTTTAATAGGTAAACTCCAAAAATATAAATAAAAAAACGTAACAGATATTTCTTGATTATAGGGCGAAACGAAGTTCGCCGGGTCTTCTAGTCAAATATATAAAATTCTCGTGTCACGGTGTTCGAATTTGTACTCCTCCGAAACGGCTCGACCGATTTTCGTGATCCTTATCGAGGATACTAACTAGGGGGGAGAATCGGCCAACATCTATTTTTCATCCCCCTAAATGTTAAGGGTAGTCCACCCCTAAATTTTTGTTTTTATTTTTTAAGCAAAATTTTTTGTTTTTATTTTTTTATGACACAGCCTACAAAAATACATACAACCCTAAATTTTCACCTCTCTAAGATCAACCCTTATTTTTTATTAGTTAATTAAAAACTTTAATTTTTTGTCAATTTTTTTTTTATTTTTTGATGACTTACAATAATAAATCTCATATTACTCTAAATTTTTCACCCCTCTAGATCAACCCCTATTTTTTATTTGTTAATTACATACTTAAAAATAAATAAGACATAATTTATTTCTTGATTGAGGCAGTACGAAGTCTGCCGGGTCAGCTAGTAAAACTTATAAATTACATAAAGAAGTAAGTTAAACGACTTGATTTATGTAAATATATTTATTTATACATATTGTATGTGAAATGGGAAGTGAATGGAATATAAATTGTTAATTATATAAAAAAAAAACAATCTTTATGCTAATATAAAAACTAATGAAAAATTCGGTTTAAAATTAATATTCGCAAACACATACAGAATGTGTACGAAATCTTCATATCATTCTGAAAATGATTAATTCCATTACTGTACATATATTAATAACTTGTACATTTTTAAATAAATTTACAGTACCCTACAATAGAAACCCTCATTACAATTATTACTAATGAAATGTAAGACTTTCGCGAGTATTAATTTAAATAATATTAATATTTTCAGATTTACTAATCTTTTTTTATTATTTTAAACTACGAACTCCCGACGTGACCAAAGTAACCGAAATGTCGGTAGTATGTAGTTCAAAATAATAAAAAACGAGAACCAAATCTTAAATTTTACTTTTATTTAGAATTACTACTATTAAATTCCTTAAGTACTATTATTTATTTATTTATTTATTTCAACGGCACATCGATAGTACATACATTAAGCACTTAAAACTAAACACTAACTGATGTATGTACCAATTATGGATGTACACAGCACTGCTAAAAATTACTGTCTAGCTTACAAAAATATTATAAAAAACAAGTTAACAAAGGAAATTTAATACAAACCTATTACGAAAAAATACAAATGAAGAACAAAGAGTATTAATCAAAAATCAAAATAAACTTACTAAACTTACTACAGCTAACAACTACTACTACTACTTATACTAATACTAATAGGACTTGACAAAACATAACAAATTTTTCGCTTAAACGACGGCAAGGAATCGGAAAAAACATCAATATTTTGGGTAACTGCACACAGATAACTGCCACATATTCTATTTATAGGGGAATATTTAGCAATATTTGTGCGTGACTTCGGTATGTAAAACAATTTATTGTTAGGTTTTCTAGGAGGGCGACATGGGACTGAGATATTAATTTTATAGAGAGCCTGTTCACATTGGACAGTGCCATTCATAATTTTAAATAATAAAATTAAATCTAAATTTAAATAATATTATTAATTTGTATAAAAATTTCAGGAGTTCGTGGCGCGAATTTACAGTTACTTGTACTTCCAATCCCCATGACATCACTTAATCCTGGACCTAGTCAGAAATCAGGTAATGCTTTATATTTCATCTATTATTATAAACCTAATTTTCTGGTAATATATATCAAATATTGTTACTCTACACTCCAGAAGTGATCACCTTAAAATAAACTTGTCATTTTGCTTTTTAAAATCGTCCCTCGTATTTACTTTATGAAATTATAATTATTTTTTCATCTACCTTTTATCAAACAATTAAAATACGTCAGCATTATATCACTTGTTTTTTTTTTTACGTAAGCTTCAAGTTTCAATTAATATACAAAGACTAATTAACTAATATGTTTCAGAATGTAAAGTAACACCGGAACCCGAGGAACCGATAATCGACGTGAGATCGGGAGCCCCAACTATATATTCAAGTCCACCACTTGGTATACCACAAAGTCCACGTGTTCCCACCAGACATAATATTCCACCAAAAGCTGTAACTCGTAATGAGGTTCAAAACAAAGCACCTTCGTATCCATCGTACCTTAACGTAGAAAAATTGGATCAACCTGTGATTCCACCAGAAATACCTCCTTCTGGTGAGTATAGTGTTACAACACTTTCATATACACTACAAATTATAAAAAAAACTCTTAATCTTCTAGTTTTTATTAGGTTTTTAACTTATGATCAGAACATTCTAGAAGATAACAAAAACGAAAAAGTTAAATTGTAACATTGTAGAACATGAAAGCATAGGATATAATTAATATAATTAAAAACAATTACATTGTGTTAAAAAAAAAGTCAGTGGTGGCCTAGTGGTTAACAGGCTCGCCTCTCATGCTCGAGGGCGCGGGTTCGATCCTGGCCCGGCAAGTATCAATGCGATTTTTCCGAGTCATATGTACTTTCTAAGAGTATTTAGACATCACTGATTAATGCTTTCCCAAAAGAGGGTTAATGTCAGGCAGGCGGCCGGTCGCAAAAACAATTAGCCAAAACTATTCATAACATGTAAGGCAGACCCTGGCTAAAGCTGGGAAATTGCCAGGTAGAAGAAGAAGAATAATCTTGTGTTAATAAAAAATATTTCTATTTTAGAATCATCGAAGGAAATCTTAGAGCAATTCCTCGCTCAGGCACCTCAAGCTCCCCAACTGCCGCCTGTACTGCTATCAGAATATGACAAAAATGAACGTATACCACATCCAGAAGAAGAGGATGAGCAAACTAATTTAATAGAAGAAAGTTCAGCAGTACCAACCGTCAAAACTAATTTGCCATATACACAAAACGTGTACAGTCGAGGCAGAAAAGTACAAACTCAACCATCAAGACCTCGTTTCTCACAATCAGTTGTGATACGAGGTGAACTCTCTGTGCCTAAATCTGACTTCACAGAACCTTATACAGCCTGGTTTGTATTAATTCAATATTTAAATACTAGTACTAGAAGCTAAACAAAATGATATTCATTCAATATCTTCAAAACCTATATGTTAAAAGTTGTATAAATTTTAAAATCATACCATTCTTCTTTTATATATGTACTATATGTATTTGCGTGTTTCTTATTCCATCAACAAAAAACTACGGACTTATTAAGATGTAATTTTTTAGAACCCACAATAAGAATAAACCTTTCAATCAAGGTATTTTTGACTATAAAATTTCTGAATTTTGACTATAAAAATTTGACTATAAAAATTTGACTATAAAAATTCTGAAGATACCTGATAACTAACTTGTTTTTGATCTACAAACAAAGTTCATAATTGTAACTTAGACCAAGCTGTTAAATTTTAATACATTTCTAAGTTAATCCTGGAACGTGTCTCTATTCTACACGATACTGGCAGAATATTCTTTACATGTGTTGCATAGATGAAGGCTACATTTAAAACAACCTAACTAATAGAAAATGATATTTTTGAACATTCACAGGTGGGATGCCTCGAGCGGGTCTTCCAAAGTTGACTTTCACGGAGGATCGACAAGCACATATAGGACAGTGATGGCTGATAAAAGACTTCAGCGATTGGAGGTACGATGCATTAAAGTAGCACCATTAATTTGATAATCTGTACATGTTTTCTGTTGTATACTCGACCTTATTTCACTCAATTTTAGAATACAATTTACAACAAATAACGTAATCATGGTGATTCATTGTGTAATTCTTAACATACTAATAGATGCGTGTGGATCGTTCCGGTGAACGCGCTGTTCGTCGCTGTGGCAAGGCCTCCTCATACCAAAACAATCCTCTGGACATTTCTCATCCCGCTTTACCAGACATTGATTTATTCAACTTCGTTGGTAAGATTAAAGAACACAGCGTTAAGAGAAATTATCTAATTATAGTTGTTAATTTCAGTATATAAGAGAAGACTTAAATTAATTCATAGTTAGAATAAATAGTAACGAGTAATGAGACATTTATTTGAAGATACATAAAAAGTAAATAAGAATTAAAATATAATAACGTATTTACTATGATGATAATTTCTGTCAGAAAAAATAAGACTAATTAAAGAACAGAAATAATTTGTTTTCCGGATATTCTCCTAATCATTTTATATATGTACACATTTCCATCTTTGAGAAAGTTTCAACTTCCATTAAGTCCATACAATGAACTAGTCGAGAATCTTAGAAACCTATGAACTATGCTATTAATATTTTTCCAAATTTCAATCAGGTTATGAGCCCGATGGTCGTGTGGAGCGTTGGCAACACACAGTCGTTGGTCGTGAAGGAGAGCTTGGTGCTATACAAGGAGAGTCTCTTAGCCTGAAACATGATCTGCTTCTCATACGTGATTCTGAAGACAACGCAACGCCTATACTGTAAATAATATAGATTTCTATTCTCCCATCTAATTTTACATATAAATAGTTTTGTAACTTTTTTTGTGTTAGTGGAAAAACAAAAATGCTCGAAATAAATGTTTTACTAAGGGTGTAGTCATCATATTATTAAATTTAGTTCCATTTTAACTAAAACGCCATCTTTATGCTAATTTCATAATATTTCGCGTTTTTAAAGCAAATATTTACAATTGTAATAAGTCTTTTTCGTCGGGTATATTACTTTTTTACCTCAAAAATATGTATAGTTTCATTAAGTCGTGTAGGAAAAACTACTGCATAGCCACTAAGGAGAAAAAATTTAGGTCATAACAAAATATAAATATTTTTCAGATACACAGTGTCAGTCAATAGTTCTCTCCTTGGTCCCAATGCTGACAGCTATGAACATCGTTACTTGGATGTTCGTCGTCATGAACAAAACGCCGACTTCTTCATACCAAATATAAGTAAGAAGTTCTGCTTGACAAAAATCTTCTAAAATTACAATTCATCGTAGTATTTTGTGGTTTATGATGAGTTCCTAAATTTAATGACTTTAACTCCATACTTTATTTTCACATTTACAGGTGATCTATGCGACACTGTTGAATCGTTGAATGCTTCTATACCGGAACATTTATCTCGCCTCGAACCTCTGAGGGAATACATACAGCCTCATCGCGACCAGAAATACGTGGCGGCAATACAAAAGTAATGATTTAATATAATAGAAAAACTTACTTTTATATATCTGCACGTAGAGAATTTATTATAAAACATGTTTCATCAGTTTCAAGGTGAAATACAACCGTCGTTACATAGACAACTCTGAAGAAGCTGTAAGAACAGCGTTACTGATGCAGCACAAGCGCTTTATTTCATCTGGTAACCGAGAGGGCGCCACCTTCGAGCTAGGAGTGAACTTCTTAGGAGACAGGCTGGACAACGAGCTGAAACAACTGCGCGGAGTGAAGTTAGAAGAAGAAAGAACTCAAGCTGAGCTGTTCCCTCACTCAAGAAGCATGCTGAGAAAGGAAAGCGCTAAACTACCTGATAATTTCGACTGGAGGGTTAAGGGTGGAGTGTCACCTGTTGGATGTAAGGGTTTTGAACTTCCATAACTGTTCATTATTATAAGCGATAAGATTCAATTACGACTTGCAAATAAATGCATACTATGATAGCGTCGTTTTAACGCGTTGAAAAAGAAATTTAGTACCCATTGTAAGGTGTATTTGTGTTATAAATCGTTATTGTTGCTTAAATTGAGTTTCGCTTTATATATTTATTTGATTCGTGTGTTATTTCAGTCCAGGGTAAATGTTCATCGTGTTGGTCATTCGCGGTTTCTGGTGCTGTGGAAGGAGCGTTATTCGCAAGGACTGGCAAGCTCGTGCCACTCTCACAACAATGCCTCGTGGATTGTGCACATCCGTGAGTAATTTAAAAATATACTGGGTCTAAATGTGATAAAAAGCTGCGAGACTTGAATCCTGTAAATAACCTAAATAAACAAATAAATAGATAAGAAGCAATACATTTATCACCCAAGTTACGTAATAATTTTTTGACCACAATGGCGTTTTTCTTTGCGTTTCTATAAAAGATCTTGGTATGTACCTGGTCAAGATGTTATGTTGGTCTATCCATATTTAAAACTGAAAATAATTGAATGAGACACGGGATTTAGATGTCTTAATTTTATTCTCTACATAATGTATTCAAATCTTGCAATTTTGTTTTGAAAATTAAAACTATATTTTAATAAAATAGCAAATAGAAGAATAGGCGGAGTCTGGCAATAGCCAGGAAATTGCCAGGTAGAAGAAGAAGCAACTAGAAAAAGTAGATTAGAATAAAACATTAAAGCGAGTAAATTAAAACTGGAACGAGATATTCCCGAGATAAAAATACGAATCTTGCTTGTTTCATTATATAGTTTCTAAATTAAATTATAACCTATTTTATTTAGACTCAGAATAATTAGGTTGCAGTATTTTCCATTATTTTATTCCATTTTTTTAATTAAAATTGAATTTTACGATTTGACATATCCATGTTTAATTTATCTTCAGATTTGGAGGCAAAGGTTGCAAAGGCACGTGGCCAAGTCATGCGTACGACTACGTGAAAAACCGTGGTCTACCTGCCCTCGACGAATACCCATCATATAAAGCAAAGGTTATATAATAGAAAATAAGAATACTTTAATAAGGTTTGACTGTGGACAAAATTACTTATATTTTTTTAGAAATTTTTACTTGTGAAATTAATACTTGAATTTTCAATCTTCTATATATATAAAAATGGATTGCTTTTCCTTAGTCTCGCTAAAACTCGAGAACGGCTGAACTGATTTGGCTAATTTTAGTCTTGAAATACTCCTGGAAGTACAGGGAAGGTTTAAAAGATGAGAAAAATTGGAATAATTGCCGGGAAAACCCTAAAAACAGCCCTTTTCTATTTCCCATACAAACGTTTTTTTTGACATTAGATTTGACAACTAACTAATATGTCAATTCTGTTTGATTGAAACAGAAAAAACCTGATTATTTATGGCCTGTAAGACGGAATAGAGTTCGACTGGTAGTAATCATAAATGTCTTTCTAATATTACAGGTTGAACAATGCGCAGAAAAATCAGTACGTCCCGTGACACGTATTAGTGGACATGTTAACGTTACCGCAAATAGCCTTTCAGCTCTGAAGGTAAGAATGTTCCTCTATCAGCTAAGTTCCTTCAATCCTTACCATAATATCTGCTATGTTTCATATAATGTTATATACTCAGGTGGCTATACGAGATCACGCCCCGACCGTGGTCATTGTTGATGCGAAACTTAAGAGCTTCGTGTTCTATAAGCATGGAGTCTTCTACGATGACAGATGGTAAGCACAAAAACTTATGTTATTTTAAATAGTTACCTCTAAGACTTATACAAAAATAAAGGATAGGCATGAAATCTTACAAAGTCAAATAGTAAGTAGTCTCCTACTGAAATAGACAGAGAAGGTAAAGCCTTCGTCCACAATTTTATGTTGTGTTCTGTTTATACATATTTTATAACAGTAAAAAAGGAGTGAATGAATTTCATACAATGTGAAAATCTACACTGACAGTACCTGAATCATAACAGATTTATAAGAGTGGTGAGATATTAAGCGAGAATTAATTTATGAGCATAGTGGAAGTGAGAAGAATTTTGGGAGGGGGTTATTACTAGGTTCCATTTTCTGTATAGCTTAACAAAACTCCCTCAGATTTAATTTCACACCTTTCCATACAATTCTGACCTAGAAATAGATTAGACTATTATATTAATAAAGATAGAAAGGATCCATATATGTTTCTAGTAATATATACTCGTATTATATTGCAGCGGTAAGACGCGGCCTCGTTTGAACCACGCTGTGTTAGCCGTTGGTTGGGGAGACCAGAATGAAGAGCACTTCATCTTAAAGAACTCCTGGTCGGAGGCGTGGGGTGAACGAGGATTCATGAGAATACACGCGAGGTCCAACACATGCGGGGTCCTCACCAGACCCAGCTACCCTCGGCTTGAAGATAGTGACGTTTTATCACTACCTGGGCGCCCCACAGACAAGAATGCCCGCATATAACAAGAATGTACCAAATGATTGTTTGAAGAATTAGTCAGATTGATTGAGATTATACATAATATTTAATATATCTGTTGTCTTTCATGTTTTAGTAAATATAGAAGTCTTTTTAGCTGCATATTTCATACCAATATTATATATATGTAGTTTTTACCAATCAAGTGCCAAGCCAGCATAATAAAGATATTAGTTGCGTATATTTAATTATTTTGTATTCCTTGATCTGGTACAACTTTAGTATATTAATACAATCAGCTTAGAAATTCTGTGTATTGATTTATGTGTAAAGTTTTAAGTTTATTGAATTAAGTAAATTAAATAGACTAATTCGTAATAAAATACAATAAAAAGTAATATCATTGACCTACCATGACAGTTTAGAAATAATAATTAAAGAGCCATTTTGAAAGGCCTATAACCATTGCTACTCTTATAAAGTAAATCTAACACTGTTTTTAATTATAAAAGTGTAAACGAAAAAAATATATAACTTTTTCGAAACAGAATAGATAATAGTTTTTTTACCATTATGTGGGCCCACATTGCAAAATAACTCTGACAGCTGAAAAAAATTCTTATTTCATTAAAAATTAAGCAAGTTACATATGTTACTTTTATTTTATATATAGAGGTCAGAGGATTCATGAAGAGAAGGATAACTTAAATCACAACATGTCACAAAATACTTCTTATTTAAAACGTTTGGAAGCGTTCAAAAAATTTGAATGAGATCCAATCCATGGGTTAATTAGAACAAATTAAAAATTACATCTTAGAGAATAATTTTAACGCACTTTGTTCACTCACCTTTTCCTTTACTAATAAGACATAAAGGAGCAAATTTTCAACAAGAAATTAGTTGTATTTTAATAAAAATAAATACATTGGATTTTCGTTCGAAGATTAATATACTGTAGAATATGTCTTTAATCTCTCTTTATTCTCAATTACTTTAAACAAGTAATATTTTTACGTTAATAATGCTCGATTGGATCCAACAATTTTTATATACTTATACATGAAGGAATTCATGGTTCCACAAAGCAACACTAAAGTTACTTAACAATAGATGGCGCTGTTAAGAAAACTAGCTTAATATTATTTTTCAAGATAAATTGCCAGTACAAAAATACAACATACAAATTTTTATGTCATTAAAAGTCGAAACATGAATTAAACTGTTAAAGTGCCTACATTAACAAAATTTCGCAAAACCTGATATAGTGTTTGTAATAAATTCAGATAGTAGGTAGATAAATAATGTTTGTGACAGAATTGTCAAACTACGTTGAAGCAGTAAATTGTGTGCCACAAGATCATTGTTTTATTTCATTATTACTCATAAATATAAAACCTGAATAGAGGAAATGTAGAAAAAAAGATTTAACTCCTTTTTAAATTAATTTAATTCGATATTTACAAGCCATATACATTATAAATATTTAAAGTTTTCAATTACATTTTAATGTCATTATACTATAGTTAATACAGTACATAAATTAATTACTCGCAGTGAGCTTATTTAAGACCAAAAAAATAGAAATGTAGAAAAGTAGCTAAATCTGTCAGCTAAATCTTTATATTTTTCTAGGCCTGCTAGTAACGGCTCAGTCTCGTTATTCATCGGATGTAAGATCATACAGACGGAACTATCAATCCCGGCCGAGTCAATGGAGGGACCTTGCCGAAGGTAAATATTAAACAATATTACTTAATATACTCATAAAATTCTTAAAAACAAAAGGTTATCTACCGATTATAACGTAAAATTAAATGAGTTTTGAAATTTGGCAATAATGATGGCTCTTTTCTTCAATTTTTTCTCAGAATACGATAGAGATGAAGACAGAGGGCCACAAACACCGAGCATTAAATATCCACTTTAAGCAATACCTTATGAATTACCTATAGGTGAGTAAACTGTCAAACATCATACAGATATTTGAAAGAATTTGAAGATTTGCTTTATAATTTAGACAAGAAGAATCAAAAAAGACTGTTTCATTATCCATAATCTTTATACATAAAAAAGTCATGTTAGTTACTACTACCTACTCTATTTATAATTTAAGAACGTCTGTACGGGTTTGGCTAATAATTGGTGGAGCTTAAAATGGACGTAGGATACTTTTCATCCGATTGAATAAGAAAAAATAATAAGTTAATCAAAATCTTCTTATTCATTATCTTAAAGGAGGAATGTAGTCAACTATAATTTCTAATTTTGAAACTAAAGCAGACGAAGTTGCGAGCATAAGCTAGTCGTATATAAAACTTATAAATTACATAAATAAGTTAGGTAAACGACTTGATATATGTAAATATATTTATTTATTCACAATGTATGTGAAATGGGAAGCAAATGGAATATAAATTGTCAATTTTATATTTAAAAATAAAATCTTTATGCTAATAGAAAACTAATGAAAAATTCGGTTTAAAATTAATATCAGTATTTACAAATTCATACAGAAAGTGTACAAACTCTTTTCAAAATACAAAAATGTGAAAATGAATAATTCCATCGCCGTACATATACATATTAACAACTTGTACATTTGGAATTAAATTTACAGTACCCTACAATAGAAACCTTCATTACAATTATTACTAATGAAATGTAAGACTTTCACGAGTATTAATTTAAATAATATCAATATTTTCAGATTTACTAATTTTTTTTTATTATTTTAAACTACGTACTCCCGACGTTTCTATAGTTACTTTGCAGCAACCGTGACCAAAGTAACCGAAATGTCGGTAGTATGTAGTTCAAAATAATAAAAAACGAGGACCAAATCTTAAATTTTACTTTTATTTAGAATTACTACTATTAAATTCCTTAAGTACTATTATTAATTTGTATAAAAATTTCAGGAGTTCGTGGCGCGAATTTACAGTTACTTGTACTCCCAATCCCCATGACATCACTTAATCCTGGACCTAGTCAAAAATCAGGTAATGCTTTATATTTCCTTTATTATTTTAAACGTAATAAAATACAAAAATTTCTGGTAATATAAATCAAATATTCTTACTTTTCACTGAAGAAGTGATCATCTTAAAAGAACCTCGACATTTTGCTTTAAAATCGTCTCCTGTATTGACTTTATGAAATTATAATTATTTTTTCATCTACCCTTTATCAAACAATTATAATACGTCAGCATTATATCACTTGTTTTTTACGTAACCTTCAAGTTTCAATTAATATAGAAAGACTAATTAACTAATATGTTTCAGAATGTAAAGTAACACCGGAACCCGAGGAACCGCTAATTGACGTGAGATCGGGAGCCCCAACTATATATTCAAGTCCACCACTTGGTATACCATTAAGTCCACGTGTTCCCACCAGACATAATATTCCACCAAAAGCTGTAACTCGTAATGAGGTTCAAAACAAAGCACCTTCGTATCCATCGTACCTTAACGTAGAAAAATTAGATCAACCTGTGATTCCACCCGAAATACCTCCTTCTGGTGAGTATAGTGTTACGACACTTTCATATATATTAACAAATTATTAAAAAAAATCTTAATCTTCTAGTTTTTATTAGGTTTTTAACTTATGAACAGAAGGTTCCAGAAGATAACAAAAAAGGACATGTTAAACTATAACATTGTAGAACAATAAAGCACAGGATATAATTAATATAATTAAAAACAAATACCTTGTGTTAAAAAAAAAGTCAGTGGTGGCCCAGTGGTTAACAGGCTCGCCTCTCATGCTCGAGGGCGCGGGTTCGATCCTGGCCCGGCAAGTACCAATGTGATTTTTCCGAATCATATGTACTTTCTAAGAGTATTTAGACATCACTGATTAATGCTTTCCCAAAAGAGGGTTGATGTCAGACAGGCGGTCGGTCGTAAAAACAATTAGCCAAAACTATTCATAACATGTAAGGCAGACCCTGGCTAAAGCTAGGAAATTGCCAGGTAGAAGAAGAAGAACTACCTTGTGTTAATAAAAAATATTTCTATTTTAGAATCATCGAAGGAAATCTTAGAGCAATTCCTCGCACAGGCACCTCAAGCGCCCCAACTACCGCCTGTACTGCTATCAGAATATGACAAAAATGAACGTATACCACATCCAGAAGAAGAGGATGAGCAAACTAATTTAATAGAAGAAAGTGCAGCAGTACCAATCGTCAAAACTAATTTGCCATACACACAAAATGTTTACAGTCGAGGCAGAAAAGTACAAACTCAACCATCAAGGCCTCGTTTCTCACAATCCGTTGTGATACGAGGTGAACTATCTGTGCCTAAATCTGACTTCACAGAACCTTATACAGCCTGGTTTGTATTAATACAATATTTAAATACTAGTACTTGAAGCTAAACAAAATGATATTCATTCAATATCCTCAAAACCTATATGTTAAAAGTTGTATCAATTTTAAAATCATATTATTCTTCTTTTATATATGTACTATTTGTATTTGCGTGTTTCTTATTCAATCAACAAAAAACTACGGACTTATTAAGATGTAAGTTTTTAGAACCCACAATAAGAATAAACCTTTCAATCAAGGTATTTTTGACTATAAAATTTCTGTAGTCTTGATATTAAACGTCATGTTTGTAAGGGAAGATACCAGATAACTAACTTGTTTTTGATCTACAAACAAAGTTCATAATTGTAACATAGACCAAGCTGTTAAATTTTAATACATTTCTAAGTTAATCCTGGAACGTGTCTCTATTCTACACGACACTGGCAGAATATTCTTTACATGTGTTGCATAGATGAAGGCTACATTTAAAATAACCTAACTACTAGAAAATGATATTTTTGAACTTTCACAGGTGGGATGCCTCGAGCGGATCTTCCAAAGTTGACTTTCACGGAGGATCGACAAGCACATATAGGACAGTGATGGCTGATAAGACTTCAGCGATTGGAGGTGTGATGCATGAAAATAGCACCATTTAGAGTAAAAAAAAATATATAATCTGAACATTTAACCGTTTTCTATCATATACTCGACTTTATTTCACTCAATTTTAGAATACAATTTACAACAAACATCGTAATCATGGCGATTCATTGTGTAATTCTTAACATACTAATAGATGCGTGTGGATCGTTCCGGTGAACGCGCTGTTCGTCGCTGTGGCAAGGCCTCCTCATACCAAAACAATCCTCTGGACATTTCTCATCCCGCTTTACCAGACATTGATTTATTCAACTTCGTTGGTAAGATTAAAGAACACAGCGTTAAGAGAAATTATCTTATTATAGTTGTTAATTTCAGTATATAAGAGAAGACTTAAATAAATTCATAGTTAGTATAAATAGTAACGAGTAATGGGACATTTATTTGAAGATACATTAAAAGTAAATAAGAATTAAAATATAATAACGTAATTACTATGATGATAATTTCTGTCAGAAAAAATAAGACTAATTAAAGAACAGAAATAATTTGTTTGCCGGATATTCTCCTAATCATTTTATATATGTACACATTTCCATCTTTGAGAAAGTTTCAACTTCCATTAAGTCCATACAATGAACTAGTCAAGAATCTTAGAACCTATGAACTATGCTATTAATATTTTTCCAAATTTCAATCAGGTTATGAGCCCGATGGACGTGTGGAGCGTTGGCAACACACAGTCGTTGGTCGTGAAGGAGAGCTTGGTGCTATACAAGGAGAGTCTCTTAGCCTGAAACATGATCTGCTTCTCATTCGTGATTCTGAAGACAACGCAACGCCTATACTGTAAATAATATAGATTTCTATTCTCCCATCTAATTTTACATATAAATAGTTATGTAAGTTTTTTTGTGTTAGTAGAAAAACAAAAATGCTCGAAATAAATGTTTTACTAAGGGTGTAGTCATCATATTATTAAATTTAGTTGCATTTTAACTAAAACGCCATGTTTATGCTAATTTCATAATAAATTTCGCGTTTGTAAAGCAAATGTTTACAATTTTAATAAGTCTTTTCCGTCGAGTATATTACTTTTTTACCTCAAAAATATGTATAGTTTCATTAAGTCGTGTAGAAAAAACTACTGCATAGCCAGTAAGGAGAAAAAATTTAGGTCATAACAAAATATAAATATTTTTCAGATACACAGTGTCAGTCAATAGTTCTCTCCTTGGTCCCAATGCTGACAGCTATGAACATCGTTACTTGGATGTTCGTCGTCATGAACAAAACGCCGACTTCTTCATACCAAATATAAGTAAGAAGTTCTGCTTGACAAAAATCTTCTAAAATTACAATTCATCGTAGTATTTTGTGGTTTATGATGAGTTCCTAAATTTAATGACTTTAACTCCATACTTTATTTTCACATTTACAGGTGATCTATGCGACACTGTTGAATCGTTGAATGCTTCTATACCGGAACATTTATCTCGCCTCGAACCTCTGAGGGAATACATACAGCCTCATCGCGACCAGAAATACGTGGCGGCAATACAAAAGTAAGGAATTAATTTATAAAAAACTTACCATTATATGTGTGGACGTAGAGAATTTATTATAAAACATGTTTCATCAGTTTCAAGGTGAAATACAACCGTCGTTACATAGACAACTCTGAAGAAGCTGTAAGAACAGCGTTACTGATGCAGCACAAGCGTTTTATTTCATCTGGTAACCGAGAGGGCGCCACCTTCGAGCTAGGAGTGAACTTCTTAGGAGACAGGCTGGACAACGAGCTGAAACAACTACGCGGAGTGAAGTTAGAAGAAGAAAGAACTCAAGCTGAGCTGTTCCCTCACTCAAGAAGCATGCTGAGAAAGGAAAGCGCTAAACTACCTGATAATTTCGACTGGAGGGTTAAGGGTGGAGTGTCACCTGTTGGATGTAAGGATTTTGAACTTCCATAACTGTTCATTATTATAAGCGATAAGATTCAATTACGACTTGCAATTAAATGCATACTATGATAGCGTCGTTTTAACGCGTTGAAAAAGAAATTTAGTACCCATTGTAAGGTGTATTTGTGTTATAAATCGTTATTGTTGCTTAAATTGAGTTTCGCTTTATATATTTATTTGATTCGTCGCTTTATATATTTATTTGAATTGTGTGTTATTTCAGTCCAGGGTAAATGTTCATCGTGTTGGTCATTCGCGGTTTCTGGTGCTGTGGAAGGAGCGTTATTCGCAAGGACCGGCAAGCTCGTGCCACTCTCACAACAATGCCTTGTGGATTGTGCACATCCGTGAGTAATTTAGAAATGTATTGTGTCTAAATGTGATAAAAAGCGAGACTTAAAAACTGTATAAACCTAAATGAACTAGTAAATGTATAAGAAGCAACACATTTATGACCTTAGTTACCTAATAAGTTTCTATAAAAGATCTTAGTATATACCTGATCAAGATGTTATGGTGGTCTTTCCATATTACTGAAAATAATGGAATGAGACACGGGATTTAGATGTCTTAATTTAATTCTCTTCTTAATCTATTCAAATCTTGCAGCTATGTTTCTAACTTTAAAGCAATATTTAAATAAAAAATAGAAAAATTTGATTTGAAATAAACATTAAAGCGAGTAAAATAAAACAGGAACGAGATGTTCCCGAGATAAAAATACGAATCTTCCTTTTTTTTTTTCATAATATAATTTCTAAATTAAATTAATACCTATTTCATTTAACCTTATTTAGACCAAAAATTATAAGATTGCAGTATTTTCATTATTTTATTCAGAATTAAATTGGATTTTACTATTTGACATAACCATATTTAATTTTTCTTCAGATTTGGGGGCAAAGGATGCAAAGGCACATGGCCGAGTCATGCGTACGACTACGTGAAAAACCGTGGTCTGCCTGCCCTGGACGAATACCCATCATATAAAGCAAAGGTTATATAATAGAAAATACAGAATACTTTAATAAGGCTTAACTATGGACTAAATTCCAAAATTTTTATGATTTTTTCTTATGAAATTAATGCTTTAATTTTCAATAGTAATCATAAATGTCTTTATAATATTACAGGTTGAACAATGCGCGGAAAAATCAGTTCGTCCGGTAACACGTATTAGTGGACATGTTAACGTTACCGCAAATAGCCTTTCAGCTCTGAAGGTAAGAAAGTTCCTCTATTAGCTAAGTTCCTTCAATCCTTACCATAATATCTGCTATGTTTCATATAATGTTATATACTCAGGTGGCTATACGAGATCACGCCCCGACCGTGGTCATTGTTGATGCGAAACTCAAGAGCTTCGTGTTCTACAAGCATGGTGTCTTTTATGACGACAGATGGTAAGCACAAAAACTTATGTTATTTTAAAAAGTTACCTCTAAGACTTATACAAAAAGAGAGGATAGGCATGAAGTCTTACAAAGTTAGATAGTAAGTAGTCTTCTATTCAAGACAAAAAAGTGAGAGCCCTCAACCACAATAATGTTGTGTTCTTTTATATTTTAATACAGTAGAAAACGAGTGAATAAATTTTATACAAATTGAAAATCTACCCTGACAGTACCTAATCATAGACAGTAATCATAACTGATTTATAAGAGTGGTGAGATATTAACCGAGAATTAATTTATGAGCATAGTGGAAGTGAGAAGTATTTTGGGAGGGGGTTATTACTAGGCTCGATTTTCTGTATAGCTTAACAAAACTCCCTCAGATTAAATTTCACACCTTTCCATACAATTCTGACCTAGAAATAGATTAGACTATTATATTAATAAAGATAGAAAGGATCCATATATGTTTCTAGTAATATATACTCGTATTATATTGCAGCGGTAAGACGCGGCCTCGTTTGAACCACGCTGTGTTAGCCGTTGGTTGGGGAGACCAGAATGAAGAGCACTTCATCTTAAAGAACTCCTGGTCGGAGGCGTGGGGTGAACGAGGATTCATGAGAATACACGCGAGGTCCAACACATGCGGGGTCCTCACCAGACCCAGCTACCCTCGGCTTGAAGATAGTGACGTTTTATCACTACCTGGGCGCCCCACAGACAAGAATGCCCGCATATAACAAGAATGTACCAAATGATTGTTTAAAGATTTAAGTCAGATTTATTGAGTTTATACATAATATTTAATATATCTGTTGTTTTTCATGTTTTAGTAAATATAGAAGTCTTTTTAGCTGCATATTTCATACCAATATTATATATAGCTTATACTAATCTAGTGCCAAGTCAGCATAATAAAGAAGTTTGTTGCGTATATTTAATTATTTTGTATTCATTGATCTGCTACAAGTTTAATATATTTATACAATAAGCTTAGAAATTCTGTGTGCTAATTTCTGTGTAAAGTTTTAATTTTACTGAATTAAGTAAATAGGCTAAGTCTTAACAAAAGACAATAAAAAGTTATATCATTTGACCTACCATGACAGTTTTGATTAATAATTAAAGAGCCATTTTGAAAGTACTATAACCATTGCTACTCTTATAAAGTAATTCTAACACTATTTTTAATTATAAAAGTGTAAACGAAAGAAAAAAATATAAAACTTTTTCAAAACAGAATAGATAATAATTTTTTTACCATTATATCGGCCCACATTGCAAGATAATATAACTCTGACAGCTGATAAAAATTCTAATTTCTTTAAAATATTAACAAGTTATATATGTTACTTTTATTTTATATATAGTAGTCTTTTCTTACAGAATTCATGAAAAAAAGACAAAGCAAGTGAGGTCACAAAATACTTCTTATTTATAACGGTTAGAGACTTCTAAAAAAATAGAATGATATCCACTTAATTAGAATAAATGAAAAGGAGAAAACTACACCTTTGAAAATAATTTTAACACACTTTGTCCCTTACCTTTTCCTTTACTAATCCTACTACTATTATAAAGGCGAAAGTTTGTAAGTATGGATGTATGGATGTATTTATGTTTGTTACTCTTTCACGTAAAAACTACTGTATGGATTTGAATGAAACTTTACCACAATATAGCTTATACTTACATCAGAATAACAGATAGGCTATAGCTTATACATCAGAATAACACATAGGCTACAATTTTGGAGGTTTCTAATGTGAGGTCGTAAAAAAACACAGTTTTTGAGCTTACATTGCAAACGCTGACTGAATCCTACAAGATAGATCAAAACAATGTACTATAGTATTGTACAACTTAAAAAGGTCTACAAAAGAGACCGTGATGGTATATGTTTATCTCTTAGGAATAAGACACAATAACCATTTTTTATCCTTTACTTTGTACGAGAAATAATGGCTTATTTACGAAGCGATTTTAAGCAATACAGTACTAATTCTTATCGAATTAAGTATCTTAAATACATTGTGCATTTAATAAAGATCAATATGGCTGTTTACAGCATGTAAATTAAATAAATATTTTCGAAGATATCACAGATTTAAAATGCAGAGTCATAGCAATTTCGGTGATAAATACCGGCAGCGGTGCCAGGCGAACGGGGCGTGGGGGGAGCGGGGTAGGTGCGGTGGGGAAGAAGTGGCTATACATATATTACTAATGACGAAACTAACGCGGACGAAGTCGCGGGCAAAAACTAGTAAGACATAAAGGAGCAAATTTTTAACAAAAAATGTCTTGTATGTGAAGAGAAATATACAAAAAATATATATATTGAATTTTAGTTTAAAGATTTATATACTGTAGAATATGTCTTTAGTCTCTCTTTATTCCTAATTACTTTAAACAAGTAATACTTGTACGTTAATGCTCGATTGGCTCCAACAATTTTTATATACTTTTATGTCAAGGAATACATGGTGTGAATTATTAATTTGATTACAATTCATTTTTAGAAAACTATTTTACCTGTTTCTAGGAAATTAATTATTGTACTACGTCACCGGCAAAGATGGCGCTGTTAAGAAAACTAGCTTAATATTATTTTTCAAAATAAATTGCCAGTACACAAATACAACATACACATTTTTTATGTGATCAAAAGTCTAAACATATATTAACCTATTAAAGTCATTAAGAAAATTTGTCAAAACCTGAATAGAGGAAATATAAATAAAAAACTTAAAATCCTTTTTAAATTAATTTAATACGATATTTACAAGCCATATAATCATAAATATTAAAGTTTTCAATTACATTTCAATGTCATAACATTATACATAAATTAATTACTCACAGTGAGCTAATTTAAGACAAAAAAAAGTATAAATGTCAACCAAAACAGTGACAGTTTGAAGACTTCACAACTGTCAATATTATGCTGACGTCATAAAAAGATACAAAATGTATTTATATATGTATAGATACGATGAACGGAATCCACAAAATAAAGACCCAATTTTTCTAGAGATGTGTTTTGTTTATTTTGTCCTATTTATATTCCTTTTATTAAATTTAAATAAATAATCATTTTAAAAAGAAATGTTATATATCTATCTTATAATACATATAAAAATGAATCGCTAAATGTGTTGGTAAGCGCATAACTTAACAACGCCTGGTCCAATTTGGCCAATTCTTTTTTAAAATGTTCGTTGAAGTCCAAGGATGGTTGGATGGTGAAGAAAAATACAAAAATCGAAATTTTTGTATTTCAATTCAATCATATCTATCAAAACAGTGTGCGTGTGTGCGTTGGAGCACAGAATACGTCGTTGGAGGATTTAATGTCGCGTTCAGAAACTAAAAAAAGTGATAGCGGACCCGACCGATTGAATAGTCACAAAATATAATAATAACCATCAGATTTGTTTGTCTATACGCCAGGTAATCAAAAAAAAAACATCATTTATCACAAAGCAATACAATGAAAATAGAACTGCTTTTTTTTTGTTAATAATTATGATTTACATGGTTAAAATTACTTATTTTAAATGCGCGATACATAAGCTGAGATTGACGTTTGTGTGATTATATTAGTCTATGATAAGAAAAACGAGCGCGGGAATTGAAACGTTGACGCGGGCTTTTTGAAAATTTTAATTACATTTTAAAATGTTTTATACTATAATTTGCAAATTTTTGTTTAGTTTATTGTAAAGAAGTAAAACTTAGTCTGTATATAAGTGTTTATGTGGAGAGATGGTGAAAAAACGTAAAAAAAAGGATTCGGGTGAGTCCTTGAATTTCAGCACAAGCAGCGATTCCGATTGCGAGGATTCGCCAGTATTGCAGGATGCAAATGCCTTCGCTCCCTTTAGGGTCTCTGATTATTGTCGGCGATACCCTGAAGATGCGGAAGCCAAGTCTGAAATCATAGTATTTGTCGAAAGTACTAATGATGTCCCACTCGGTAATAGGGACATGATGTCGCTTCGTACTAGTTTTATACGCTCTGTGATAGGTATACAATATTAAAAAAAAATAAATAAATATAAGGTCGGTGTTGTTTTCCGACGTACGTATTTGGCAAATGCCTTTTTAGAAAATACTACATATCTAAAGGAACAACGACTTAAAGCTTCAATAACAGCAGGGGCCATCGAACTATCGGGAGTTATCTCTTCGGTTCCCACTCATCTATCCAATCACAAAATATATAAATAAAGCAATATCAACAACAAAGAAAAGTCATTTCTGTCCGACGCATAATGCGTAAAGTAAAAGGAGAAAATAACACCTTTACACTGCAACCTACTCAGAGCGTAGTAATAACTTTTGTGTCTGCTACGTCACTGCCGGACTATGTTCACATTAAGATGTGGCGCCTGCCTAAGTTTTGTAAAAATTCACCGCGATGCTCCATATGCACAGAGGGGCATTCTTTCAAGGAATGCAAGGTTAACATTGAAAAAGCTAAGTGCATTAATTGTAATGGCAATCACATTGCCATCTCTAGCCAGTGCCCTATAAGGCAAAAGAAAATCGCAAACAGTAAACCCAAGTCATATGCTGACACGTTAAAAAATTCATTAAATTTTCCCTCCCTTAATAAAAAATTAAATACCCAAGAAATAATAAAAGCAATACTATCAAATTCTGAAGCAATGGCTCTATTAACAGAATCTATAGTAAAAGTTATAACTTTAAATAAAACTCAAAATATAAGTATTAGTTCACAATTTATTTGCTCAGCTACTAAAAAAACTATCCAGGACAAAAATAGCAAGTCGTCACATTCAACCACCAAATCTTAAATATTGTACAGTGGAACACGCAAAGTCTGTTAAGTAACAGACTTGAGTTACAAAATTTTCTATACCAAAATAATATACATGTTGCCCTTTTTTAAGAAACTTGGCTTCTGCCTAACATTCAATTTACGTGGTTATACCGTTATTATTAATGACTGCGGTAATGATCATAATGGCGTAGTAATATTAATTAAAAATGGTATACATTTCTCTAAACTAGATACTTTTTATGATGATTCGTTACAAAATGTAGTAATTGTTATTAAATTAAAACATAAATACATTTCTTTGGTTAGTTTTTACAGTCCTGGTAATAGTTTTCCTGCTTTTGAAAAGGCGAAGTTCGATCGTTTATTGTACAGTATTCCAAAACCGTTAATAATTGCAGGCGATTTTAACGCCCATCACACTTTTCGGGGTTGCAGTCGCATAGATTCTCGGGGCAGAGCTATTATGGATTCCATGGATGACCATGACTTAATACTTTTAATAATGGTCAACCAACAACTATAGGCTCTCATATTTGGAAACCAAACAGTCTAGATTTAACTATGGTGTCTTCTTCTTTATTTCTTTCTTGTGACTGGCAAGTTCATCAGGACCCTTTAGGCAGTTATCATCTGCCAACTATCACAAAATTTACTCTCGTAAGAGATCAACATGAGCCCTCTATGTCCTTGAACAGCATTCCTTTTCACAGCGATCTGAAATTAGTAAATTGGGATAGGTATGAACAAATTGTTAATAAAATGTTAATAAACTAATTAAAGTTGACAATAGTGATCTCCTTGACTCATACAGAAAGTTTTGTGCAACTATTCTATTGGCAATCAAATTCTCGGGCCCAGCTTAAACCATAACACAACTGATAGTAATAATAACCGTCCTAGAAAAAGGTGTCAAGTACCTTGGTGGAATGA